AGCTGGGGCCTCAGGGGCTGGAGGATTGAGCCCCGGGGACCGCCGTGACCTCGGGCGTGGCGGCGTCTGCCAGGGACTGCCTGCGGTGGGCCGGCGGTGTGTGTGGGGGGGGCGTCCGGGATCCCGCGACTGTATTCCGCCCCACTTCCGGGGACGCCACTTTCACTTTCTCTTCCGCCGAGACTGCTCCCCTCCTCCTCTCGACTAGCTGGGGCGGGAGGGGAGGGAGTTGGGCTGAAATCTCGGGCGCCCGGGGCGCTCCCAGCACGGAAAAGTAGAGGCCCTGCTCGGGGCCTTCTGGCGTCCGGGCTCTGCGGTATCGTTCTCCCCTCCCCCATCCCGGCCTGTCCCTTTATTTTGTCGCCCATTGCGGGCTTGGCTCGTGCCCCCTGCACTTACTACGCGGGGTTCCGACTTGTCCCCTATCCCTGGCCTCGTCCCCTATCCGTGGGTAGTGCGATGCCTCCCGACTGCTGAGGGGGACACCGAGGCACAAAGAGGTCTCCAACCGCGCCAGAGGCCACTGGCCGGGGTTGAGTAGCTTTTCGTTGCCCGCGGTCTTCCAGGTGACCCAGAGGTAGCGTTTCTCCGGAGCGGCAGCCCCCGCCTTGGGGGATGGGCGCAGCCACGCCAGATGGACGAGAAGACCAAGAAAGGTGGGCACAGCCTGGAGGCGACTTAGGGTGGAAGGTGGGCCCTGCCAGGACCCGGCCTCCCCTGGCAAGAAGAGCCAGGGAGAGGGGTCTTAAATTCTGGCCTCCCTCTGCCCACTTGCCCTATAGTTTCCTCCTTTGGGGCCGGGTTGCTTCCAGAGGCATCTTGTCATTCATTTATGTGATACCCCTGAGGCCTTCATAAACCAGCTCTGAGCTGAGACGGGATCTCCCAGAGGACAAAGGAAACCTCCCAGGCTGGTGGGGGACACATCTCACTAACCCGAATAGTAGGGATCCTTGCCTCCTCTCTTGACCCCTCTACCCAGTGTTGTAAAACATAAGTCAGGTCATGTCACCACCCTGACTGACCCGTGTTCCTCCGTTCACCCCCTTTCTCCTTCTTCTGGAGCCCCACTGGCTCTTTTCTGTTCTAATCCACCATTTCTTGTTCAAGGCCTTTGCCCTTACCTTTCTTTCTACTTGGAACACTTCCCCAACTGGGTCTTGACATAGCCAGCCTCTCCTTCAGGTCTCTGTCAGTATCACCTCCTCCTAGAGGCCTTCCCTGATCTCCTTACTCTATTTATTTCCTTGCCAGCATGGATCACAGTCTGAATTTTTTTTCTCTTGTTAAATTTGTCTGTCATCTTACCAGGGTGAGAGGTCCATGAGAAGGGACCCTGTTTATCTTATTCACTTGCTGAATCCCAGTTTCTAGGTTGGTGGCTGGTACACAGTAGGAGCATAATAATAAATCCTTGTCAGATAAGTGAATGGAAGTATGGAGGACCTGGGAGTATGGAGGATAAATGGGCAGGGAGGGGGAGTGAGGAGCAATAGAGAAGGCCTCTCAGAGAAAGGGACTTTTAAACTGAGTGCTGAAGGACATATAGTTCACCCAAAAGACAGAGGAAGCAGCATGTACAAAGGATCGTTTCCTCCCTCGCCCCCTCCTACCTCCTGAAAAATAAACCCTGCGCTGACTTGCTTCTATGCTGGATTTTAGCTGAGGAGATGGCCCTGAGACTCGCCCGAGCAGTGGCGGGTGGGGATGAAAAGGTGGCTGTGCAGTGTGCCATCTGGCTGGCAGAGCAACGGGTGCCCGTGAATGTGCAATTGAAGCCTGAGATCTCCTCAACACAGGACATCAGGTGAGGAGTGTGTGGCTGGTCAGGGATGTAGGGCTTCCTGAACCCCCGTGGGCAGCAAGATATTCTTGCTGATAGAATGATTATTCTTAATGGCAGGTTCTGTGGCAGGAGACCTAGCTTCAAACTCCAGCTCTGTCACTAATCAACTGCAAGATCTAGGGGAGGTCACTTCACCTCTCAGAGTTTCAGTGTTTTTCATTTTAAAAATGAGGTAATAATAGCAGGTATCTCATAGGGTCGTTAGGAGATATATTAGGATATATGGTCTCATATAACAGAAAAGAACATAACAGTGGCATGAACAAGTTTGGTGGCAGGCAGTCCAGATGTGGAGGCTCTGCTCCCTGTAGTCCTCAGACACTCATGCTCTCTCAATAACTTCCGTCTTGCTCCTCCATTCATAGCCTCTAGTCTGATGTTTACCTCATGGTCCAAAGTGGCTATTCTAGCTCCCGTCAAAACATCAGCATTCTTATCAGCGGGGAGGAGGAAGGAAAGAAAGACAACTCCCTTTCACACTCCTTTTAAGAGCGCAGCTGAGAAAGTTCCTTATACTTCCTCCACTTAATTCACGTGGACCATGCTTACTCTCAGTCACTCAGCTTGAAGAGAGGCTATGAAATACAGCCAGGAATCCAAGGATTCAGGGGTTCTCTTAGCATGAGAAGCAAGGGAGAATGGATACTGTTAATCTTTAAGCCCAGGAGGCTTAACCTTGATGCTGAATCACTTAGCACAGTACCTGGCACATGTTAGTCACTCAAACAGTGGTGTTTATCTTTTTTTTGTTTTTCTGCTTTTTTCCTGCTTTGTAGTAAGACAGTAGTTTTACAGTTTCTGGTTTTGAATGATCCTTGTGAATCCCATTTGCTTTTTTTAATGGTTTTATGGAGATATAACTGACATACCACCCAAATCAACAGTTTAAAGTGTGTGGTTCAAGGCTTTTAGTATATTTAGAGTTGCGCAAACCATCACCACAGTTTTAGAACATTTAATCATCCCATAAAGGAACCCTGTGCTCATTATCAGGCATTCCTCATCCCCCTGCCGTTTCCCAATCCCCCAGCCTTAGGCAACCATCAGTCTGCTTTCTATCTCTAGGGATTTGCCTGTTTTGGAAATTTCATATAAATGGAATTATACAATATGTGACCTTTTGTATCTGGCTTCTTTCACTTAGCATCATGTTTTCTAGATTCATCCATGTTGTAACATGTATCAGAACTTCATTCCTTTTTATTGCCAAATAATGCATTGTGTGGATATACTATATTTTCTTTATCTGTTAATCAGTTGATGGACATTTGGGTTTTTCCACTTTTTGGCTAAATGAATAATGGTGCTATGAACATTTGTGTCCAAGTTTTTATATGGACACATCTCTGATTTATAGCCAGTTGGTCAGAAGTACATGTAACAACCTGGACTTATAACTGGAGACTGAAGTTCAAGGAGGGGATGATTGGAACCCCCAATCTATATTCTGTTTGTTAGAAGCCCTGGGCTTTTACTTGGCATCTGAAATGGGGTGTGGGGGCAGGCTTGCAGGACTGAGCCCTTAACCTGTGGAAGTTGCCACTATCTCCAGGTAGCGGTGTCAGAATTGAGTTGAATTGTCGGATGCCCTGCTGGTGTCTGAAAATTGCTTGGTGGTGTGTGGGAAGCTCCTCCTCCCCTCCTGCACACGTTGAACCATTTTAGGTATAGAACGTAATGATTTTTTTGTATATCTATATCACTATGTATGTATTATATATGTATATGTACATAGTGAAATGATTACCACAATAAACTAATTCATTGCCTCACATAGCTACGAATTATATTTTCTTGTAGTGAGAACTTTTTAAGATTTAACAACTTTCAAATATACAATATAGTATTGTTAACTCTAGTCACCATGCTGTATATTACATTCCCGTAACTTTTTTTTATCTCTTAACTGAAAATTTGCACCTTTTGACCACTTTCACTTGTTCCCCTACCAATCTGTTCTGTTTCTCTGATTTCAGTTTTTTAAGATTCCACATAGAAGTGAAAACATACTTTATTTGTCTCGCTCTGACTTATTCCATTTAGCATAATGCTTTCAAGGTCTATCCATGTTATTGCAAATGGCAGTTTCCTTTTTATGGCTGAATAATATTCCAGTTTGTGTGTGTGTACACACACACAAACGGAAACAACTTTCGTGTCCATCACACACACACACACACACACACACACACGGAAACAACTTTCGTGTCCATCAACACATGAATGGATAAAGAAAATGTGGTATATACATATACGTATATTTTCATTTCCCATTCTGTGGGTTGTCTTTTCACTTTATTGATATTGTCCTTTAAAGCACAAATGCTTAATTTTTTTGAAATCCAGTTTATGTTTTTTGTTGTTTGTGCTTTTGGTATCATCTAAGGAACCATTGCCTCATCCTAGGTCATGAAAATTTATTACTATGTTTTCTTCTAAGAGTTTTTTAGTTTTGGTTTTTACATTTAGGTCTTTAATCTATTTCGAGTTGACTTTTGCATATGGTGTGAGGTATAAGTCCAACTTCATTCTTTTGCATGTGGATATCTAGTTGTCCGAGCACCATTTGTTAAAAAGACTATTCTTTTTCTGTTTAATCGTCTTGGCACCTTTGTTGAAAATTAATTGACCATAAATATGAGGTTTATTTCTGTATTCTAATTTCTATTGCATTGATCTATGTATCTGTCCTTATTCTGGTACCACAGTTATGATAATTGTAGCTTTGTAGTAAGTTTTAAAATCAGGAAGTGTGAGTTCTCCAGCTTTGTTCTTCTTTTTCAAGATTGAACAAGTCTTTTGGCTATGCTGGGTCCTTTGAATCTCCATATGAATTTTAAGATCAGCTTGTCATTTTCTGAAAAAAAAAAGTCAGCTGGGATTTTGATAGGTATTCCTTTGAGTCTATAGATCAACTGGCCATTTGATTTTCAATAAAATACTTATATATCCACTTCTCCATAAACTGTCCTTAGACACCCCTTATTACGGAAATGAGGACTTTATTCAACCTATTCATCTCTCACCTTTCTCTTTCCTGACTTTCTGGTTTTTGTTAAAATATTGTAATAGAAACTCTCTCAGTGGACCTCCACTTGATTCCCCCAATTAAATGGCACTATAGTTTCTGCTATAAAAAAAGCTGCACACAGCTTATTTCTATCCATTGTGCTTGTTATTGTAATAATTTAATTAGCTGTTACATCAATAAAACGTGAGTGCTAGAAGAGAATTATTTCTATAAAAATTAAGTTGATTGTTTTAGAAAGACAAGCTAGAGACAAATCACCAAAAAACACTACTTTAGAATGAGACGGTTATAAAAAATATGGTAAAAATCCAGAAGGATTGTGTACTCAGATGCTTTGAGAGTGTCTTTAAGTTTTTGGTCCACCTTAAAGAAGCTGATACTGCAAATCATAGACCATGTATTATGGAGGTGGTTCACATAAAAAAAAAGTCATGGGAAACTCCAGTAGCAGATATACACTCAAAGAAAAGCCATTGGCCATTCACCTAGAGATCAGGCATTTATGACTTATAAAGTAAAATTAAGTGTTTAAGATTTACCTGCAACTATTTGTGTGATTCTCTTCTGTAACAAGTTTTTTGAATAACTAATCACCCCTGACCCTGAAGACATTGGCTATAAAGGTTCCAGCTAACTGTATCTTTTTGTTATTGGTGCTAAGGTTGTAGCTTTTAGATTTTGTTTTCTAACTGTAATTAAGGCTTAAGTGCTTTGCCTCTAGGTCAATTCTGAAAATGTAAACCCACTAAAATAGCATTTATAACACTTTGATATGGAAATATTCACTGTAGAATAAGTAGTGCAATTGAAAATGTATGTACTTTTGTGTTTCAGCCTTTGAGATTTTGAAGGTTAAAATCTAGTCCTTTTAATTTCCTTTTAGTTTTCTTCCATTTTCCTGCATCAGACTCAACTATTGTTTCTTGTATATTAAAAAAAAAAAACTTTTCATATGGGAAAGTGGATGGTAAACTTTTGGAGTCTTTACATGTCTAAACTTTTCTATATTCTGCCTTCTCACTTCATTGATAGTTGGCTCGGTATTGAAAATCATTATCCTGAGGAATTTTGAGGGTATTTTCTGGAGTATTTTGAGGCAAATCTTAGATATTTCATTCATAAGTTATTTGATATGTCTTTAAAAATAAGGACTTAAAAATAGCCCCAATACCATTATCACACCTAAAAAAATAACAATAATTCCCTGAAATCCCCTGATACTCTCTTTATATTCATATTTCCCTAATTATCACATTAATGCTTTTTATAGTCGGTTTGTTCCAATCAGGAGCCAAATGAGATTTACACACATAGCATTTCTTAATATTGTCTAAGCCTTTGTGATTCTCCTCTATTTTTATGCCATTAATTTTTTTAAGAAACCTCATCTTTGGCCTCTAGAATTTTTCTACATTCTGGAGTTATTTATTGTCTCCTCAGAGTATCATTTAATATCTCCCATTTTCCTTGTGAACTTGTAGTTGGATCTAAAGGTTAGGTTCGTCAGGAATCACTTTGTAAATTTCCAAGAATCATTCCTCATTTTCTCATTGCTTCTTGCTCTTCTTGCTTGATGGATTCAGTGTTCTCCCAAATCTCTCTGAAGGTACTAAGTGGACTTTACTGTTATTGTTTTGTACCTTAATTTATCTATTTCCTCTGGGATCAGTTCTGGTTTTTCTTCTTAGCCCTCCCTTTTTATGTTTTCGATCTTCCAAAATGTTTGAGGATCCTTGAGAAGGTTGGTGTTTAAAACCACTTTCTCTGGTGCTTGCTTTAGCAGCACATATACTAAAATTAGAATGATAAAACCACTGTCTCTGGAATAATACTGTTTGGATTGAAATCCTGCCTCTAGCAGTTATTAATTGCTGACTTGGCACAGTCACCAGAACCTGTCTCAGGTTTTTATCTGTAAAATAGGAATAATGAGTTAATATGTGTCGAGTGCTTTGGAGTGTCTTGGCATATGGTAAATGATAACTGGGTGGCTTGGCTGAGGAGCAAGGGAGAGAATGATAGAAGAGGCTGGAGAGGTAGGGAGGAGCCAGATCATGGAGACCCTTGTACGCATAGTGAGTGTGGATTTTATTCTAGGAGTAGTGTGGGGCCATTGAAGGGCCTTTAGTGGTGGGTTCTGATGAAGGAGGAAGCACAGGGGTGCAGGATTCTAGGAGAGGCCCTTAACCCGCACTGGGGAGTTGTGTGTGTGTGTGTACACATGCATGTGCATGCACAGGTGTGCAAAGATGTCCATGTTTATAGCTGGTTGCTGACGTTGCACCTGGACAGCCCTTACCCCAACCCCTGTTCTCTGTAGGCTGTGTGTCAGTGTGGAGGATGCTCAGATGCACACTGTCACCATCTGGCTCACAGTACGCCCTGACATGACGGTGGCTTCCCTCAAGGACATGGTGAGTGAGGGGGCTGAAGGGAGATATCGGGGCAGAGGCTTCCCATTTTGCGCTGTATCTCTCCACACTGGCCCTCCCTGCCCACTCCCTCTCTCTCCATCTCCCTAACCCAGGTGTTCCTAGACTATGGCTTCCCGCCAGCCCTGCAGCAGTGGGTGATTGGGCAGCGGTTGGCCCGGGACCAGGAGACCCTGCATTCCCATGGGGTGCGGCGGAATGGCGACAGTGCTTACCTCTATCTCCTGTCAGCCTGCAACACCACACTCAACCCCCAGGAGCTGCAGCGGGAGCGTCAGTTGCGGATGCTGGAAGGTGAGGCTCTGCTCCTGAGCGACAAGGGACTCACCTGAGGTCCTGAGGCGAGAGAGCAGAGGCCATGGACTTTCTGTCAGGGACTCACCCTGGAGGGTCTTATCCATAGTGGGGAAGAGAGACAAAGGACACTCCAGGAGGGAGCCATTTCTAGAACCATTCTGAGAACGAGCCTAGGGCAGCAGTTCCCAACATTTTTGGTACCAGGGACCAGTGCTCCTATGAGAATCTAATGCCTGATGATCTGAGGTGGAGCTGAGGCAGTGATGCTAGCGCTGGGGAGCAGCTGCAAATACAGATGAAGCTTTGCTTGCTCGCCCTGCCTCTCACCTCCTGTGCAGCCTGATTCCTAACAGATTCCTAACAGGCCACAACCCATAGCTACCATTTGAGGCCGGGGTTTGGGGCCTCCTGGCCTAGGGGAGAGGGGCTGAGTTTAATCCTGGCTCTGGCATTTATTAGCTGTCTGGTCTTGGGCAAGGCCCTTCCTGTCCCTGCTCTTCAGTTTTCTAAATCTCTAAATTGGATACAATGATAATAATAGTGTTTAGTTTAAATTTTTTACTACTTATTGTGAAATATTTCAGACTTACAGGAAAGTTACAAAATTGTACAAAGAACTATATAAATAATTCCCATGGATCTTTTGTGTGGATTTCTCAAATGTTAACATTTACCGTACTTGCTCTCCTTTATCATTTTATATATCCAGTTATTTATAAAAATAATTTATATGCATATAATTTTTTCTGAATTGTTTTGAGAGCAGACATTATGTCCCTCTCCCATAAATGCTTCAGTGTATATTTCCTTTAAAAAAGTCGTTTTCTTATATTACCACATACAGCTATCAGTTAGGAAATTTACATTGATACAGTACTATTATCAGATCTACAAATATTAGTCAGATTTCACTGGTTGTTGCACTAATGTCCTTTATTGCAAAAGGACATCCAGTGGTCCTGTCTCAGGACCTTCTCAGTCTTTGGCTTCCTCAGTCTTCCCTTGACCCTCCTGATACTGATGTTTGAAGAGTCCAGACCAGTTGTTAATTTTTCGCCCAGTGCCTTCTCATGAATGGATCAGAGCCAGTATTTTGGCGGGACCACTTCAGAGAAGTTGTTTGTCCCTCTGAGTGCATCACTTCCTAAGTGCGCAGGAGGTCGGTTTTTAGGCAGGATTTATAAGCCGGGAAGACATGGGAGCATCCATGGGTAGAGAGGGGACTCTGACCCTGTGGGAGCCAAGATACTCAGCCAAGTCTGAGCCCACCTAGCAGGACTCTAAGCTGGAGACTCCTCCAGGGAGGAGGGAGAGGGCAGGAGGGGACTCAGTGTACGGTGCCCATTCCTGGCTGGCTGGGCACTGTGGACGAAGTGGGCTGCATGGATCTGCCAGCCTCTTAACCCTCCTCTGTAGATCTGGGCTTCAAAGACCTCACGCTGCAGCCCCGGGGCCCACTAGAGCCGGTGCCTTTGAAGCCTGGGGCCCCCCAGGAGCTGGTGCAGAGGCAGCCTGACCCCATACCTGAGCCCCCGCCGGTAAGCCACCCCTATACCCGTCTCTCACCCTGCCCTGGGCCCTCTGTGCACTGAGCTCATGGCCCCTCCACCCCCAGGTGGGCTGGCAGTGCCCTGGCTGTACCTTCATCAACAAGCCCACGCGGCCTGGCTGCGAGATGTGCTGCCGGGCACGGCCTGAGGCCTACCAGGTGCCCCCCTCATACCAGCCCGATGCTGAGGAGCTAGCACGCCTGGCAGGCGAGGAGGAAGCCCTGCGCAAGTACCAGCAGGTGGGCAGAGATGTCCCCTGACAGACACCTGCAGACTGGACAGGGAGGCGGAGGCCAGGAAGGGAGGCCCCTCTACACTGCTGCTCTTTCCCATTGCTGCCTTGTCCCCTCATGACCATACCGAAGGCACTGACCCTGCACTTGACAGTGACCCTCCTTCTCCTGGAGGTCATCCTGTGGCTGAGCCTGCTTCCTGGCTGGTGCCCATCCAGACTCGGCCCTCACGTGGGGCTTTGACATACCCACCAATTATGCACACAAGTGTGCCTGGTTGAGACTCCAGCACCTTGGTTGGGACCATGACTATGCCCCATCCACCACCCCCTTGTCTGCCTGTGACCTAGCTCTGCTTCACTCAGCTGTGACCACACTCGGGACCCTACTACTCCTTACTGCAATGTCTTTCTAACTGTGGCCCAGTCCTGACTTCCTGTGACCCTGGACCTGGCCTCTCACTGCTCCCTGGGATGTTGACCCCCTACTCTGTCCTGTTCCTCTCCTAGCCCTGCCCCCCATCGTGACACAAGCACTGATTACACAGATACCTGACCTGAGTGTTCCCCCATTCTGATCAAATGCCCCCTATCCTCCACCTGCGTTCCCCTTGGACCTAGTGCTGCCCTTACCCACCCCAGGCATGACCTCACTCCTGGTCCCATCTACATCCTTGGCCAGATCTGTCCTTCCTCCTCGCTCTGTTCCCTGGCTTTATCACTACTCCTTCCTCTCCCTCTGACCTACTCTGTGACCTTGACCTGGCTCTCCCTCCGTCCCCTGGCCCTAGCCCCACTCCGCTTGGCAGATATGTGAGCCCTATTACCCCTGACTGCCTCCTCAGAGCTTGGCCCCCTTTCTTTCCCTTCCACCATCTCTCCCTCGCTTGGCTTGACCTCTGGTTGTAGTCCAACCTGCTGAGCCTGGCCGGCCTCCTGCCCCTGGCTTCCCCGCCTGGCCAAGCTTCTGGCCCCACCCTTCCAACTGCTCCTGCTCCTCCCACTGCCTGGCCACTCCCACCCCCTCCCTGGAATCCTCACTCTCTCCCAGCTTGGCCTCCTTTCCGGGATCTGACCGAGTCCCCTGGTCCTGCCCCCTTCCTGGCCTGACCCACCCCTGAGACCCTGACCCGCCCCGCGGCCCCGCCCCATGTGCCCAGCGGAAGCAGCAGCAGCAGGAGGGGAACTACCTGCAGCACATCCAGCTGGATCAGAGGAGCCTGGTGCTGAACACCGAACCCACCGAATGCCCCGTGTGCTACTTGGTGCTGGCGCCAGGCGAGGCTGTTGTGCTTCGGGAGTGTCTGCACGCCTTCTGCAGGTGTGGCCCCCACTCCCAGCAAAGCAGCATTGATCTCAGCCACCAGTGACCCAGGGCAGAAAGGGGGTGGGATCTGTGCTTTTATATCTCATTGGATGTCCACAAAAATGGAGGTAGGTGCTGTCACCCTATTTTGCAGGGGAGGAAAGTGAGTTTCAGAGAGGCCAGCAACTTGCTCAAGGGCACACAGCTCAGGCATTCTGGCTTCAGAGCCTGGGCCCCTCACCACTCTGACCCAGGCCTATGCAGGGACATTGAGGCCCTAGCCCTGGTTGCCCTGAGCCTGGCTGGAGGGCAGTCTGCCCCTTCGGTGGCTCCCCTCCTGGCCCATCCATCCTGGGCTGTGGAGAACACATCCTTCACCCCACAGCAGACATTTGGTGAGCAGCCCCTGGGTGCCAGGGACGGTGCTAGGCCTGCAGATTCAGGAGAGATCACAAAAGCTCAATTCCTGCCTTCTGGAGTTGACATTCCAGTGGGGAGGCCGATGTTCATCAAATAATCACTGATATGACTTAACTGTGTCAAATGCCAAATACCAGTAGATTACGATTTTAAAAAAAGGGTGCCCTGCTCCAGCAGGGGTTTGGGGGAGCCCCTCGGAGGTAGCACTTGAGAGGTTATGGCATGGGTGTGTGCCTGGCCTGTCTGTGGGAGCAAAGGGATCCCTGTGGCCAGAGCAGAGGGATGGACAGAGAGGGGTTAGGAAGGGTGAGTCATGGGGGCTCTTGTGAGTGCTGTGAGGGGCTTGGGTTGGTTCTGGGCAGGATGGGATGGAAGGCTACTGGGGAGGGATGTGGTGGACACAGGAAGCCCAGGAGGAGGCTACTGTAGTCGTCTGGGCAAAGGGAGTAGGAAGGGTGGTAGTGGGGTGAGCAAAAGTGGAGGCCACAGTGATGAGTTGGTGGGAAGGACAGGAAAGAAAGGAGGTATTGCAGAGAAGCCTACCTGGGGTCATACTCACCAGGGGTGGAATCCCAGTGGATGGGGTTCAGACGACCTCACCTCCACCCCACCCCTCCCCTAGGGAGTGTCTGCAGGGTACCATCCGAAACAGCCAGGAGGCCGAGGTTGCCTGCCCCTTCATTGACAACACCTACTCGTGCTCGGGCAAGCTGCTGGAGAGGGAGATCCGGGCGGTAAGGCCTGGGGAGGGAGGAGTACACCCCGTCCCAGGGAGCTGGGCCCTGAGCTGGCGGGTGGGAACTGGCTTGAGTGCCAGTCTCAGGCAGCAGACATTTATCAAGAGCCTTTGTGTGGGATGCTGGGGACCCAAGCAGTGAACAGGACAGGAATTGGGGGAGGCAGCTAGTAAAGAAACTACCCTTATTAAGGAAGGACAGCCCAGCAGTTAGAGCGGGCCTGGGTGACCTCCAGTCAGATAGCCTGTCTGTGCCTCAGTCTTCTTATCTTGGTTAGGGTCAAAATTAGAGTTAGTTTCTATTTCAAGGTTTGTGAAGATTATAGTAGAGGATATGTGTAAAGAATTTAGAGTAGTGCTTGACACATGGTAAGCCCTCGTGTTAGATTTTGCTCTGTAACAAATCACTTCAAACTTTTTGTCTTAAAACAACCACCATTTAGCTTATCTACGTGCAAGTTAGTAATTTGGGTCGGGCTTAGCTGGATGATTATTCTGGTCCAGCCTGGGTGTGGGTGATCTCATCTGGACTTAGCTGGTGGGTCAGCTGTCCTGGACTGGTTTATGATGGTCTTATCTGCCATGGCTGGGATGATGGGGTTTCTTTCTACTTTGGACTCCCGTCTACCAGCCGGCTGGCTAGGCTGCTCACATGGTGTTGGTCTCAGGGTTCCAGGAGCAGCCAGAGGGGAGCCCAGCTGTGTAAGTGCTTCCCACGTCTGCTCTCTTTCACTTGCTGCTAGTCCATTGACCAAAGCAAGTCACATGTTCAAACCCAGAGTCTGTGCAGGAGGGGACCACCCAAAGCTGTGAAGTCAGGGAGACATGAACATATTGGGGCCATTCTTCCAGCAGTCTGTCACAGTGCTGTCTGTGTCTTTACTTGTGTGTATTTGCTGCTGTTACTGTTATTGATGGTATTATCAAGTTCTTTCTCTGACTGATGGTGATTTTGAGCAGGTCCTGTCCCTTCTCTGGGCCTCCATTTCCCCATCTGTAAAGTGGACTCTTGGGCTTGATTTCAACTGCTGGGGAATGGCTTTCCCAAACCTGGGCATCTTGGGATTCTCAGGCCAAAGCATGGAGGCAGGGCCACAAGTCACTGAGGTCCACATGGGAGACCCCCATAGGCACATGCACAAGACCCTTGCTTCTCCCCATTACTCCTGCCTCTCTCCTATGACCCTGCTTCTAAGAACGCCCCCAACTTCACCAAGCATTTCCTGGGGCCCAGGGAGTTCTGCCTCAAGGCTAAAAGGGCAGGCAGAGGGGTAGAACTTGGGGATTTCCACCCCTTACCCCAAGAGCAGCCCTGTTTTTATCTGTCATCTGTGGGGCTTCTGAGAAAGGTGGTTCTGGGAGGTTGCTGAGGCCTGGAGAGTCATTCCACATGGCCTGGCACCCATAGTCGTTGCCCAGAGATCTTCTCTGTGCAGGCACCCCTGCCAAGGGACATTGTGATGGGCCCATGCTTCTCTGGAGCCCCTGTGAGTTCACACAAGCCTCAGAATGACCTCAAAATGGTCAAGTATGGCAGAGAGAGAGGGATAGGGATCTGCAGAATAATGCAGTGGAGGTTTTTACAAAAAACATGCCTAAACCACAGAACAAATGAAAGAAAAATCAGCTACAACCCTGCCATCCCAAGAAATCTTGACTGTATTTTTCTCCTATTAACTTTGGTGTCTCTGGGTAGACAATGATTTTTTTTTTCCTTTTTAAATCGACTTTATTAAGGTTTACTTTGCACACAATAAAATGTACCCATTGTAAGTACGCAGTTGGATGAGTTTTGACAAAGGTATCTCTTGTAACTAACTGCCACCAATCAAGACATAGAACATAGGCATGATTTTTACTTCATTGTAACTGGCATAGATACAACAGCTTTGGCTATTTTGCTACAAAATCTTTCTAAAGATTAGTGTAAGTTCTGTGACATACATCCTGTTTATACCTCTTAATTCCATTGTCTCAGTTTGTAGGTAATGCCTCAAGGAATATTTTGCATGGTGTCTCTTCTTTATATTTTTTCTTTAGGATAAACTTGTAGTGAGTCCCAAAATGTCAGACAAGTTTGAGACGGTTAAAATATTATTGCCACATTATTTTCTCAGAATGAAATGTATCAGTTTAACCACATCTTCCCCAGCATTGCTTGTTGTTGTTATTGGCTATTTTTTTTTCTTTTTTTTTTATTGTGGTAAAATATACATAACAAAATTTACCATTTTAACTATTTAAAATGTACAGTTCTGTGACATTGTGTATTCGCATTGTTGTGCAACCTTTACCACCATCCATCTTCAAAACTTTTGATTCACTTTTTGAATGGAGTCTTTAAACTCCGAGAGTGATGTGAAAAAAAGAGCCTAGGGTTGGGTTGGACTTTATAGATTGGGGGCTTCCAGGAGGATATTCGGTGGCAAATATATCAGGTGTTCTGAACCCCGGAGACCAAGGCTGTGGTGTGTTGGCAGCTGCTGACGCCAGAGGATTACCAGCGGTTTCTGGACCTGGGTGTCTCCCTCGCAGAGAATCGAAGTGCCTTCAGCTACCACTGCAAGACGCCAGACTGCAAGGGGTGGTGCTTCTTTGAAGATGATGTTAATGAGTTCACCTGCCCTGTGTGTTTCCACGTCAACTGCCTGCTCTGCAAGGTGGGGATGGAGACCCACATTTCTTAGTCACCCTACTCCTGCCAGGAGTTTTACCGTTCAGTGCTTGTTCTTCTAAAAAGGGAGCTTTGATACTGGCCTGGTCTTCATGACTTAGAGCTACATGTCAGTGATGGGTCCTGGCCTGGGCTCCGAAATGAGCCTAAGCTTTGGACCAAACCCTGACCCTGGACTGAGCCCTGACCCCGAGTCCCAGACTTGGCTCCACATAGAAGTTCAGCCTAGACTGAGCCCTGGCCCTGGACAGAACCCTCTTCCTAGACTGAGCCCTCACCACAAACCCAGGCTGATCTTGCCCCCGTCATCTCAACTGTTGACCATCAGAGAGACTAGTGAAGAGTAGACAGGTCTGAGCCTGGTTGCAGCCTAAGCAGGCTCAGTCTCAGAGCATTGGGCCTGCATCAGGGCAGAACCTAGCCAGGCACAAGGGGCTACAGCCTCGGGGAGAGGTAGTTTAAGTGTTTCTGTGTTACTCGTAACTTAAATAGGTATATATTATATTATCACATGTGATCACCATGGTTTTACCTCCCTGGCTTCGGTGTCCTCTTCTATAAAATAGGTGTATGGCTTACAAAGTGAGGCACTGTCAGTGACAGCATCTAAAGGAATTAGTGCTTGTGCGGATGCCTGTTCTGCCACCCCACCCCCCGCCACCTCTTCTAGCTTTCTAACCCACTGGGGAACCTTCTCACCTTGAGGCTCTCACCCCAATGCAGGCCATCCACGAGCACATGAACTGCAAGGAGTACCAGGATGACCTGGCCCTGCGGGCTCAGAATGATGTGGCTGCCCGGCAGACAACAGAGATGCTGAGGGTGAGGCTGGGATAGGGCTGAGGGCCTGGGGATTTGAGTGCTGGGAGCTAGTCGGGGGTTGGGCTTCTCAGAAAGGGCTGTGGTTCACATGCCTCTGGAGGCTCTGACCTCCCTGCCAGCTTCGCTTCCATCTGGAGCTGGGACTTGGGACAAGTGTTCAGGTGGGAGCAGTAGGACTGCTGTCTGGGTGGAGGGAGTAGACTGCAGAAACAAGGAGTATAGGTAAGCGATTCCACAACTCCTACAGATTTGTCAGTTTCCCTCTTTAGTGGGGAGGGGCAAAGCTGGGCAGCTGCCTCTGCTTGGTCCCAAGGTCAGCCCCTTCTCTGCCCCAGTCCATGCTGCAGCAGGGTGAGGCCATGCACTGCCCGCAGTGCCAGATTGTGGTGCAGAAGAAGGATGGCTGCGACTGGATCCGCTGCACTGTCTGCCACACCGAGATCTGCTGGGTCACCAAGGGCCCACGCTGGGGCCCAGGGGTGAGTCCTTCGGGAGCAGAGGACTCAGGAGAGGTGAGGGGAGGGGGCCCTCGTGGGCCTTGCCGGAGAGTGGGGATTGGAAAACAACAGCCCACGGGCCAAATCCAACACAATCCACCACCTGTATTTGTGCAACTTGTGAAGTAAGAATGTTTTTTATACTTTTTGAATGGTCGAAAATATCAAAAGAAGAATATTTTTTGACTTGTGAAAATTATATGAAATCCAGATTTTAGCATTCATAAGTGATATTTTGGGGATGCACAGCCACTCATTCATTTACATACTATCTATGGCGGCTTTTGTGCACAAAGGCAGAGACCGTGTGGACCCAAAGCCAAAAATAACCTGGCTCTTTACAGAAAAGGATTGCGACCCCTGCCCTAGAGGACAGGGGTCAAGGGTTCAGTCTGGAGTCAGAGGTGGCATGGGTCCCTGGCTCTGACACACACTGATCCACATGTAGTTAGGCTGTTATTGCCTTCCCTGAGCCTGTTTCTTCATCTGTAAAATGTAGACAATAGCAGGCCTATCTTGGGCCTGTCAGAATCAAATGAAAAAATGTAAGAAGTGCTTAGGTGCCTGTCACATAGTGAGCAATCACATACGGTAGCTGTTACCGTTGGGGGTATGTTCCTGGAATTGGGGGCTCATTGTTATACACAGACAGGCATTGAGATATAGATGGAGGAGGCCACCCTTTTTCATGCTGCCAATGTGCTGACCCTTTCAGAATATGCAAAGATCCGTCAGCTCCTTTCCCTACTGTGCATCTGGGGGTGGGCAGACTGAGCGAGGCCATGAAATGAGGGTGTTGTGGGAGCCCAGAACGGCCTTCACCTACTGTGCATTTGGGGGTGGGCAGACTGAGCGAGGCCATGAAATGAGGGTGTTGTGGGAGCCCAGAACGGCCTTCATGATGGTCCCCATCAGGTAGCTGAGGCTAAGAGGGCCAGTTGAGAAGCAGGAGGACCTGCCTGAGCAAAGGCCCAAGTGGAGTGTGCACTCCTTTGGGGTGTGATGGAATAGCATGGGGGAGGGGACGCTGTCTTCCCCACCCTGACCTTCTATTCTCTCTACCCAATCCCCCCATCCTCTAGGGCCCAGGAGATACCAGCGGGGGCTGCCGCTGCCGGATGAATGGGATTCCTTGCCACCCCAGCTGTCAGAACTGCCACTGAGCTGAGGATGGCTTCGTCCCCACGCTGACCCAGCCCCATGTCCGCAAGCTGCTGTGGGACAGAGCAGGTGCTTTGGCTCTGATTTCTGGCCTGGGAGATGCCAAGGCCCCTGAGCTGCATAGATGGCCTTATTTGCTAGGAATGTTGCAAGGGCTCTCCCTGAGTTGGCTGCTGTCCACGGTCACCTCTGCCCCAGTGCCTTTGCCCTTCCCCTGGGGCTTGCTGGCCAGACCTCTCATGTCTTTGTGGTTCCCACCTCTGCCTGACCCAGTCTTAAACACAGCCTTGGCCAGAGGCCTTGCTGGATGGAGCCTCTGAGAGCCCAGTGTGAGTTCACACTCCCCATCCACCATCCCTGTCTGCTGAACGCTGAGCACTCACAGCCTGCCACTTCCTCTGTCACTTTCTGGGGGTGACTTTCTCCTCTGGCTTTGCTGTGGGAGGCCTGGAGCCTCTTAGAACTGCTGCTAATCCTGTTCAGAGCCAAGAGGGAGACCTGGCATTTTCTAAAGCACAGCCCATCAGGTCCAGCTTCTATGTCTCCCTCTTTGCTGCTGGTTTAAGCTAATTAAAATGGTTTTCCAGGAAGGGATGAGTGTGTTGTCTGTGAGATTGTGAGAAGGGCATGGGCTGGGACTCTGCACACAGGCAGGATCCCAAGCTCTCCGAGAACTGCAGCAGGTAGTAGATATGTGAGCCTCTTGGTATCCGTGTCCAGTTTGAGGGGCAGGATGTTCTTGGGTCTGCATTCACCCAGACAGAATTCACAGTGTGTGGAATCCACAAAGCAGGGTCTGCAGATCCCTGTGGGTTTGAGGGACAAGGAGGAGCTGAGGCAGCAGCTATGGGCTGGCAGGAAAGTCTTGCTTCTCCCCTTTGGCTTCTCAGTGGGTGTCCAGGGTTGGGAAACAGACATTTTAAGATCAAGTGAAGCTGTGGCAATTGAGGGATGAGGCCATCTTAATGTTAACGTTACAAGCAAGATGGTACAGTATTGGTCCAGCAATATTTATTAGTCCTCACTCTGTTGGTCAGAGATTAATAAAACATGTTTCTGGCTGTCATTCTGTAAAAGTTTTTACAGCATTTTCTGACCCAGCCCCCATTTCCCTGGTGAGATACATATTTGATGGCCATCACATCATCTGAGCCATGATATGGATCTTGTTACAACAGGCGGAGGGTGACTCTGCTATTCAAGGCCGTGGCTCCAGAAGTTGGGGCATGTAGTTTTGAGGAGAAAGACTTATCCTGGCCCCTGGAAGTGTACTACCACCCTATCCTTGGACTTGAAAGAGCTGATCCCAAGTGCTGAGCAGAGGTATCAGAGAACTTGAGTGCTTTCCTGCTCTGCCAGTGTTGGCTCACGGCAGCTGTCATAGCTGAAGGACACGCTCGAGTAGCCTTCCAGGAGAGTGAGGACTGGTCTGGCAGAGCCACCGACTTGGAGGACACAGCAGCAGCTGAGAGCTGGGCTGTAGGAGAGTGAGATGGGGCCCAGATAGGGGCAGAACACTCTTATCAGCTTCTCCCTCTTCTGCCAGGGCCCATCTTGGTATCCCTCAGGGGCATGGGCACAAGAGCAAAGCAGAGGATGGTACAGAGGATGCAGCTTGATAAGCCACCTTAGTTCACCCAATATTGTTTTAGAAATGTGAACTGGTTGCTATTATCTTTAAGTTGAGAGATACTATGTTAAAATCTAGATGCCCAGCCTGTCTTGAAAAAGTTAAAGCTTGATAACCTTGGCTCCTCATTTCCATGTGGCAGGAATGGCCCAGAGTCATATGATGGTAGCTCTCTTCGCAAAGGTACACACCGTCCAGTTCACCAGGGTCGTCGTCACCCCAATTACTCCTCACACTGAGGCCTTTTTAGTGCCCTTGCACCATTCTTTTTCCCATAAATATTGAGGTATTAATGAAGTATTTTTTATGGCTGTATCAAAAGTGAGACAAAACAGAAGGGGCTGTGTTGGCTGCGTCTGTCACTTGGCTGACTCCACCCATGCCAACTTGGGCAGGGAATCTGAGTCTGCTGCAGCCTGGAGCAGGGCTGCTCCAGGGTTCTAGCTGCCAGTACCCTACTCAATGCACCAGTGAGTAAAGGATTGAAGATAGGCAGGCTTACAAGTGCGTCCTGCTGGAGGGTCAAGTGGAGAGTCCACCTCCCAAGGGGTCACCCGAGGCTGGGACCCTAGGCTGAGAGCCCACCACCAACGCTTCAGAGCAGACTTAAAACCAAACCCCAGGGGCTTTGACTCAAACCACCGACCTGAGGATACAGTGGGAGACCCAAATGTAACTGTGTGACACAATCTTTGTCTCTTGGAGCAGGAGAAGGCAAGTGGAAGCCTATTGCTCAGATAAAGAGCAGCTGCTGCTAGTGTGGGCAGGAAGTGGAGAATCGGTCCCACAGCCTGTGCCAGAACCATCACGTGTCTGTCTTCCTCTAGTGTCTGGGGCTGGCATGAAAGCCACTTAAAAAGCAGGAAGTTGGAGACAATCCCACAGCCTTGCCAGCTCACAAAGGCTTCTGGGCAAATTTCAACCATATGTAAGTTGGGGAAAGATGACTAGCAAGTAGAGGGCCTTTGTGAGAACAGGAAAAAGGGCAGCAGAAGCCACCAGCAGAAAACATGAGGGGACAGCATGACGGGGGAAAAAAGAAGAGAAATCTAGGCTGAGCCTCAGGCCCCATCATCTCTTGGTTGGATTGGGAAAAGGCCTCTGGCCTATTTTCAGTCACCTGGATGAGCATGGGGCCCAAGTGCAGGGCTGGTGAAAGCATTTACTGATTAATAAGTGTTCACTGAAATGGAATCAAAACACTTGCATGACCTCATAGTTTGTAAAGCATTTTCTCAAACATCATTAAGCTACCCATATGCGATGGGACTATCCCTATTTTATTGTTATTGATGAGTCCCAGAGATGTGACTCGCAGCAACTCACACAACCAGGAAGTAACGCACTTGCCATCATGCCACCAATCACTTTCTAAACCCAGTTTTGGTGATGTCCTATTCTCACCCCGTCCCCCAACCCCAATATAGAGTCCCAACTCCCTTCTGCAGTGCTCAAAGCTGTCCCTGACCCCTAAGCACCCTTCCACTGACATTGCCCACTCCATCTCTCCACAGACCCCGAACCTTGGTCCTCCTAGGCTTTGCTAGGTATGAAACATCCACACTTTTTGTTCAGCTGTAATTTTTACATTGTTGTCCCCTTTGCCTTGCATATGTGGTATTTTCTGACACTACTCCAATTCTCCAGCACTAACTGGGTTTTCAACAGTTCAGTTTAATTCTGATACTACCTGGAGTTAACATCAGATCCTACACGTTAAAGTGCTCAGTCCCACGAAACTGCCCCCACTTCAGATGCCAGCCACAAATGAGGTGCCCAAGCTATCTACACTTTTCTGCCTGCCTAACTTTACGAGTTTCAACAGCCCCACTCAGGTTCAATAATTTGCTAGAAGGGCTCGCAGAACTCAGGAATACACTGTTTACTGATTATAAAGGATACAACTTGGAAACAGCCATCAGAAGAGATGCATAGAGCAAGGTGTGGGGGAAGGGTGTAGAGCTCCCAAGCCCTCTCTGGGTGCACCACCCTCCCTTCATCTTGGTGTGTTCATCAACCCAGAAGCTCTGAATCTCTAAATCGAGTTTTTGTAGAGTTCAATCTCTAGCCTCCCCTACCCCCGAAGAGGTCAGTGGGGTGGGACTGAAAGTTCCCACCCTCTAATCATTTGGCCTTTCTGGTGACCTGCCCCACTCTGAGACTACCTGATACTTTAAGTCGTATCAGATGGGAGCGATCGAAAAGGACTAATTATGAACAAAAGACATTCCTATCAGTAAGTTTCAAGAATTTTAGGGGAACTGGGGATAAAAACCAAGTCTTTACTATACCACATACACCCTTTCTTCAGTATTCCAATTTTCAAAATTCTATACATTCAGCCATCAAACTCCCATAAAATTGCCACTGACTCTGCCACTTAAAAAAATTGCTCCTTCAGTGCAACTCTGGTGTAGCTCTCACAGGCAGTGTACTCCATGAGTCAGATCAAAGGGCAACATGGCTTATGGAAGTGGGACATGGTCAGGGAGCTGTGATGCCAGCTCAGACTTGGGTGCCCTCACTGCTCCCCTCTGGGCCAGAGAAAGAGTCACATCCCAGATGACATGGATTCTTGCCTCCATGATGGGCCCCTCTTCAGGGTGGAGGCGACAGGGACTTGGCACTGCTCTGGGCTCTCACTACCTGACAGCTAGGAGTGTTAAGATGCTGGAAGCACTTGGCAAGAACAGCTCTCACAGCTCCTTTGTGGATGGAAATTACATCTGGGGGCACAGTTATGTTTACACCAGGCTCTGGTTAGGTTGCAAAACTATCAGCTTTCAGAGATGAAGGCATCCCCAGAACAGAGTGAAAAATAGTCAAGATCACCCCATAGTAGTATCCCATACCACCTGTGCTGCTTAACTGTGACCATGGGCCCCAGGCGGTAGCTGGAGTGTGTAGGGCATACTTATCGCAGGTGAAATAGGACTGCAGGTAGCCATGCGAGTTGGCACCAACCAGGAGTCAACAGACCAGAGCACAGTCCCAGGCCAGGAGTGGAAGGTGAGGAACATCAAGGCCAGATGCTTAAGACCAGAGTCTACTAACAGATGGTGGACAAGACAGAATGACAAAAGATTAGTAACCACATATGGCTATTTATTTCATACAGGGCTCTGTACAAAATATTTACACAATAGTAAACCACCTGAAGGTAAAAAGATAATGCCTTCTCATTGGCGGGGAGAATCCTCGTGTCAGTAAAGCTATAAATTGAATGACCTCACTCCTTAGACCAAAACAGAAGCAAATGCCTTGTTTCCTGGGATCCAGAAAGCGGTGGCCTTGGGATCCTGATCACGGGCACCTCCTTTCCTCTTCTCCATCAATTCCTTCAGTATTTGCCGACAGGATCGAGTGCTGTGGCAAGAGGAACCCATGCTGCTGTCCATTTGTAAACATGTCAAGAGGACAAACTTGCTGTGGGAGAAGACTGGGAATACCTGTCACATCATCACCTGTGGATCCTGCAAGAATTTCCTTTGTCTTTATATATCCACCACTTTCTAGATTAATCCATCCACATCACACTCACCCCAGATGGGACTCCTGTTATAAAGAACGATCCATCCCTCTAAGCTTTTTTTTTTTTTTTTTTGGTTTTAAAGTGCTGAGTGTAACTTAGTGCTGCCGCCGCTCCTAATTTTTCTGGGTTTGCCAGCTGCCTGGCATGCTAAATAAAAGTCCTCCACTCTGCACACAGTGGGTATGCGGGGAGGATGTAGAGGTCTGGGTATAGTAAAGTGCTTCTGTCATGTTCACTTTAAGAAAACAGCTATCATGAGAGAACATTACCAGAGAGAGACCAGGAGATTAAAGTACATGGCTGCTTCATACTATACACTCCAATTCTTTAAAGCAGCAAAAGGCACTTTTTTTTTCAAGCCAGCCAAAGTTGATCTAAAACAAATCTGGCTTTGCTTACAGGAAAAGCTGTCCCAGAAGGACTGAATGATCCATCTTATTCTTAAAGGCCCACAGAGTTCTCAGGCAGCTTGGGGCAGGGAGCTGGCTGTTCCAGGCTCTAGGCTCACCACTCTGCAGGCTGTGGTTTGTCTCTTTCTGGGTGCTGACAAATTTCCAAAGACATTTTCAACCAGGAAGGAGAGATCAGCAGTTGAGGAGAGAAATCAAACCCAAAAAATGAAGCCAAGTTAGTGACTGGGTGCCTATTTGGAGCAAGATGGGTGATCTGAGGAAAAGGAAGGAAGGAAAGCTGGACGCGAAGTGGACACTTTGGAAGTGTGGGGACGTTTACAAATAGCAACTCTGGCTAAAAGGAAATATTAAATAATTGAGTAAAAAGGAAACTTCAGGGTCCTGGAAGCTCATCTTTCTGATGAGAACTATTTTTTTCCATGCAAGAACTGTTATTTTTAAAGGGTACTTTACATGTTGGGTGTTATGTAATACTAAAAATAGTAATAAAAGATACTTTTATAAGCAACTTTGTGTGGCTGGAAGGGGAAAAAAAAGAAGAGGGGCAGGCAAACCAGTCTATGTCTGGGCCCTAAAACTTAACATTCCTTCCCATTTGACTGGAAATTCCTCAGTGATTTCTAGGCTAAAAATTGGTAGGATTTACTTAGTAACCTAGTTCACATCTGTCTCCTTGATTTCTGACCAGCTAATGGAGCTGCTCTCAAGAGGGCCAATCTTATTCCCAGGCTAGCCTTCCCTGCCCCCTTGCCTTCATTGCAAGGTCCGACTTCTTTAGCAGAAGCGCCTTCCTTCTTTGTCCGGCTGCAGCAGACAGAACAGGAGGAGCTGTGAGGCGGGCATTAAGTGGTCCAGCTTACTTACTGCTGAGCAGCTAAGAGGATCCCCAGTAACCAGGCCCAGTGGTTCCAAAGGCATCTGGGAGCTAAAACCTCCATTTCCTCCAACACAGAGAGCCCACTTGGAAGCCCACCCTACGGAAGTCCCCCTAGTGCCCAGTGTCAGGAAGGCTCTGCTACTGGCCTCTGAAGCAAAGGCAAACTGGGGACAGGCAGGAAAGGGTGGCAGGAATAGAAAACCTTTGACAGAAACCCTTTTAATAAAGGACATTCCACCCCTCCCCAACCTTCCATGGAAGGGTGAGACCTTAATGTGATGTCAGAAGAAGTGTCTTCTCTGGCATTTAGGGGAACAGCTGCAGTTGAAACTTAGGGGCCCACTCCAGGGCACTTTTTACCACAGCCAGAGCAGCCGCACCAAGTGCCACCGTCAGCCCCATCACTGCCAGTTTCACAAAGCGATTGGTCCTAGGTTTGGTCAGGACGTCTTTTGTTCGCTCCTCGGGCCGCAGAAGTCCCCGAAACCTCTGCCGCAGCACCATGTCAGGCCTCTGCTGGGCTGATGCCAGCTCAAAGTCTTTGAAGGTAGAGGCTGCCGTTCTGCAGAGAAGAAGGAGACAGAAAGAAGGAAACAGTATGAAAGAAAAAGAGGGAAAGAAAAACTAGATTAAATAGGCTGAGGGCAGAGCAATCCATTGCTCAGAAACTTCTTGATAAAGATCATGAAGACTAAAGTGGTAATTCTGCTGGCATAAGCTTAGATCTCTGAAAACTTTCCCCAACCTTGTCTCTGCTAGACACAATCTTCCATCACTTCTGTTCACTAACAACCCCCTACCCCCGCCCCCTCAACCAGTCCCTTGGTTTCACTCACTTCTCAGCTTGCTGTTGGGCAGCTGCCTCCCGAGCAAGTTCGGATGGGGGAAACTGAACAAAGAGGTCCCCAGCTCTACTGATCAGCGTCTCATAGGGCAGGTCCTGAGGGATCTGGGACAACAGGTGGTGGACCGAGGCCATGTCGCAGTCACAATCCAGGACTTCCTGCTCTCGATACAACACTATCTGTGAGGAGCAAGGCCTTGCATCAGAGACCAAAACATACAAAGGCATTGGCCATGTGCATTTTATTCTCCTTAAACATGAATTTTAAATTGGTAACAGGGCTCACCCCAAATGCTTAGCAAATTCTGGTAGCCACCTAGGAAGTGATAATGTACATATGTGAGTACTTTTACTACTGGGCTGGCCCTTCCTGCTAGAGGCAAACTTCTACCCCATGACATGAAAGAGTGACCAAGTAAATGAAGGAGATTCTTTTAGGAGAAAGAAGAGAGGAATTACTGGAAGATTTCTAGAGCTCTAGAACCGAAAAAAAAAAAGGTTCTAAACAGTAGAAAGAACAACAATGAGTCCCCACTTTCATTCCCACCACCTATGACTCAGGCTCTCTAATAATTGGAGTACTACCCCCCATACCACAGCAAGCCATTTCAATTTTCTATCATAATACCAACACCTTCTCGTTTCTTAAACCCGGAGTTGGCAATTTGTCTAGTTCCAAGAGATGCCAAAAGAAAAACGTAATTCCCAATACAGGTGAGCATTTAAATGTTCAGAAAAAAATCACTCAATATACAAATCTATGTCTAATCAGCATTTTCCAAACTTATTTTTACACAGAACATTCTTTTCCATAATATTCCCATTACTATTGCACAGAATGGTGTCCAGGCACACCAGTTTGGGAAATGCTGGCTTTTGCATCTTTCCAAAATCACCAGGTTTCCCTTTAGGGGACATGAGCAAACTAGAATGGGTGACGGTGAACCTAGCTGCAGACTCATGGCCTGTACCTACCACAGCTGCAAAGTAAATGGGCATCAGGGGATGGCAGGCCAGGAAGAAGTCGTATAACCGCACAACGTGCCTGAAGTCAGATAGAACGTGCCCAAACCAAGTGATGAGCCAGCTGAGGGCAAAGATGGTTCCCACCTCGGCACTAGGAGTAAGGAAATCCAGATGTTAGGTTCCCTGATGAGTCGTCCCTTCCTTTTCTCTGGGCCTTCTTTGTCCTCAGTACCGTGAGAAGGAAGTATTTAGGAAATACGCTTTCTGGAAAATTCAGCCACCTAGGAATTCAGCATTTTCTTCTCACAAAATACAAAGTCCTTAAAATGTGCCCACCACCATGTCATTAACACTACAATAGTGTGCTGGTTGCCTTATCTCACTGGGTACTCTCCTAATGGCCAAGAAATGTCTACTAGAAGAACAAAAAGTATTTGTTTTCCGAAAACTATACCATGATTTTCCTTCTCAGAAATAAATACCCTTTTGGGGGGGCACACGCACATATTCTCAGGCTTGAAAATACAACTGTATTATTAATTTTTCAGTTATCATGAGATGACTGAAACATCTTAAGACACAAACATTATTTAAAAAAAAAAAAAAAAGTGAAGCATTGGCCAAAGACACATTTCCAACTAAAAAGAGAAGAAAAAAAATCATATGACATTTGCAAAGAAAGTTCTCCTTGGTACTTGGTTTTGAATGAAACCACCCATGGATGGCCTTGTCTTTCTCACCTCTGGATCCTTTAGGACTTTCTACTTTTCTTGTGGCAATAACCTCAAAGTTTACTTTGGCTTACTTACCTTGTCCACCTCTCTCCACTAGATGTAAACTCCTCAGAGGCATGGGCTGTGATAGCTCTTGTACTCCGCCCCCACCCCCCGCCCGCAAAAAGCATAGCACTCAAAAGGGGCTCCAAGACTGTGTACAGAACTAAATTATCCATATCGCTGGTACTGGAAAGGATGACTCAGAAGGACTTAACACTAATTGACTAAGATGATGATGAGCTAGACTTGTGAGGAAGAAACAGAGGCTAGAGAAAAGTGAAGGTATGTGTGTGTCTGTGTGTATGTGTGTGTACTCATAAATGTAGACACATAAATACCTCTGCATGAAGTCATGGAGTTCTGGATTCACCTGGTCAATGATGGGCATCAAATAGTTTAATATATGCTTGGTGTTGTCCATTGTTGGATCCATAAAATCCCTAGAGGAAGACAATTCAATGAGCTTGGTCAGACCAAACATCTAAGATCGGGGTTGGGGGTGGCAACACTGACTAGAAAATGGGCTGAGGAGTTACCCCTGGGGGTGACTTGAGGAGTGATGAACAGACTCTATGACCCTCTTTGCTGGTACCTGAGGTGGTGGGTAGACAACTTTTCTACCAGGGATGTTGCCAGCCTCTCGCCTACCACCAGCAGAAATGTGACCACAATGTCATGGTAGCCCTGGTAGTAGTGCAGCTGAGGGTTGCGCTCCAAGATGATGAGGATGATGTCGATTAGTTCTTCCTGAAGCCCTTCTCTCTGTTCTTCTGGCATGCCTGGGGAAGGGATAGAGGGGGAGGGAGATGCACTTGAACATGGCAAGCAGCCTAGTAACAGGACGGTTTAGAAGATGGTCAGCAATGGATTTTTAGAGAAAGTGTTTAATAAAAGAAAATTTGCATTTTGGTTACACATATCAAGATCTACACACATGTAGGAAATATGTGGCATACAGGAAAGAGTCACAGACTATAATCTGACAGTGGGGGAACATGCAGATACCATCTTAACTGAATCACCGCATTGCCAGTAGTGTGACTATTTGACAACATGTGCCTCCTGATGTGATGCACTGAAAAGGACTCAGCATTGCTTCTGAGGAATTCTGTGGAATTCCTACCAAGAGTGTATAAACTAAATCTAATAATGAGGAAATAGCAGACAAACCCACATTGAGAGAAATTTTCTGAAATAACTGGCCTGTCATAAAAGACAAAGGAACTATTCCAGATTAAAGGAAGCTAAAGTGATATGATACCTGAATGGGAAATGCATGAATTTATATTTTCTTTTCCTATAAAAAACATTATCGGTATAAATGGTGAATTCTGAATAAAATCTGTAGATCAGATAGTATTTTTCAATGTTGTTACTGATTTTGATAAGTATACTGTGATTATGTAAGAGCCTTGATTTTAGGAAATACACCATGAAATATTTAGAGGCAAAGGGGCACCATGTCTGTAACTTACTTTTAAAAAGTTCAGAAAAAAATGTTTGTGTGTATACACGGAGGAGAGAAAGCAAATACTGTAAGATGTTAACATATAAGAAAATCTGGGTAAAAAGTATCTAGGTAATTCTTTGTCTTATTTTTGCTACTTTTCTGTAGGTGTAAAAATAAAAAAAAATTGCATGTTTTCTTCTAAACCAAATTATCACAGGAAGTTTTAACTTCCTTGACCCAAAGATGCAGGTGGAAGCAGGGGTGCCTGTCTTGGGAGCTCTTTCTGTGTATGTAGCTGGTTCTGGCAGTGGTCAGTGTGGCCCCTCAGCTCATCGGGCTTTTGGTATAAAAACACCAAACGTTGGCTTTGTGAACTGCTTTGGAAGAATCGCACACAGCATAGATACCGTGAGAGAAAACAGCTAATGTAAGGACCCAGACTAAACTGAGCAAAGGGTTTAAGGTGAGAGCAAAGCTCATCTCTTGCCCATATTTATTCCACATCCTCTAAAAGGCATACTCTTAAAAGATAAAATTAAAAAGAAAATGAAATAAACAAAGTACTATGGATAGGTAAAATCATGAAAGTAGTGAAAGAAAAAATTAAACCCTGCTTGAATTTTCAGTATAAAAGTGGTCAGCTAAGCTCAGAACAAAATGAATGCAAAAAGAATATGTAACCACAAGGAAAGTTCAACTTACAGAAAGAATATCAGAGACTGATGTTACATAAATGGAAGAAGAATAGAGTTCAGAGGGAAAACAGGTTACCTAGGGGAAAAATGGGAGGCACCTGTCCTGTGCAGTCTCATCCAAAGCAGCAGGATAGGAAAAGGAGACTGGACCATGGGCATGTTTTCATCAAAACCAAGTTGGATACATACAAATATCTAATTCTGTTGTATACCGGAAACTAATATAGTGTTGTATGTCAACTATACCTCAATAAAAATAAAAGAATAAATAAATGAATAAGTAAATAAATAAAATAAAAATAAAAAAAACAAGATGACAGGCCACTGGCTACACAAGAATCCCAAGAACCTCTGTTGGAAGCAAGGATGCAGGCAGGAAAGAAGGCCCTTTAACAGACAAAATCCAAGCCAGAGCATGGGTTTGGAGGAGTGAAGCAATGGGTTTAGAGGCTCTTGTTCCTTTTAGCAATTATCCTCTCTTCATGGACATAAAGGCAGAGTTGCCAAAGGAAGAGAAATAGATAACAAACATGAGGTTTGTAGCCCAGTTTTCTTCACTGTGAAAATGGAGACAATGGTCATTCTTCTCATTCTTCCTGGAATGGGGAGGCAATTCAGTCCAAGGAACTCAATATGTGTATATGCAAGGTATCCCTATTTATAAAAATCAAATCGAATGAAGATATTAATAGTTCTTGTTAGTCTCCAATCTGCTCTTTGAAGCCCACTGATGTGGCTGCCCTTAGACGCATGGCTATCAGTGAAGGAGGGCTCCTGACTGATGAGATCAGGCGAAAAGTGTGGCCCAAGCTCCTCAATGTCAACACCAATGACCCATCTCCTGTATCAGGTAAGGGTAGGGGATGGAACTGTGAGGCAAGGGGCTCTAATAATCCCTTTGAAGACCCTTCTGTG